CTTCCCCAACATGGATTTTAGTACCCTATTCACTCTCTCCACCTGTCTATTGGCCTGTGGAGAGGCCACAGCAACCTTCACATGCCCTATATTTCGTCTCAATAAGAATGAACTAAACTCGAGAGAAGTGAAACAAGTGCCCCTATCACTGATGATTCGTCTCGGCCTGCTATAATAGTTAAAATACTTGACGAGGGCCGCCGTGACTTCTCGAGTACTAGTTGAGTTGGTTGGAAAGAGCTTGACATATTTAGTGAATGCGTCAACAACAACTAAGATATGCTTACGCTTTGACCTAATTGACGGCAGTGGTCCAAAGTGATCTACGTGGATAGTGTCAAACGGCAAAGGGGTTTTAGGGATAACGTGAAGGGTCCTTTCTTTTGCATGAGGCGGAGTGGCGTACATTATGCACTTCAGGCAATTCCTAACGTACTTTTCTACTTTTGGTCGCATGTTTGGAAACCAGTAATATAGCTTCAGCTTACTAAGGGTCTTCTCCACTGAAAGGTGACCCAGCTTCTCGTGAATTACTTGTATCACGTTGTGCTCCATTTCGTTGGGCACATACAGAGCTATCTTACCGTCATTCTTCTTCTTGTATATCAATCCGTCTACCAAGCTATAGTCGTTATCGTCTTCATTTTCTAATCGGCATCGTAAGGAGTCAATGTTTTTATCCCGCTCTTGGGCAACCTGTACTTGGAATTCCACGTCATCCATGTTTACGATTAGCGCTATCTGCCTCCTACTGAGGGCATCAACATGACCCATTGAAGCCCCTTTTCTATGTTTTATTTTATAATTATAATTTTCGAGCTCAAGAGCCCACCTAGCTATCCGGGGGTTCAGCTGCTTTCTTTCGAGTGTCATCGTCAATGAGTTACAGTCGGTTATTATGGTGAAGCGTATGCCTTCTAAATATGTCCTAAACCTCCTAAGTGCATATATGATGGACAATGCCTCCAGTTCAAAACTATGATATTTCGACTCGGCACTTGAGGCGGTTTTAGAGAAGTATGAGACCGGGTGGAACTTATTATCATCTTGGCGTTGCAGCAATACTGCACCGAAACCTACACTACTAGCGTCACAGTGGAGTTCAGTCTCCCGAAGTGGATTGAATATAGCCAGCACTGGGCTTTTAACTAGGCGGGACTTAAGTTCAGTGAATGCATCAAGGCACTTCTCGTCAAAGTCAAATGGTGCGTTTCTTTTAAGCAAGTTTTGTAATGGTTTTGCGATTTGCGAAAAGGACGGTACAAATCTGCGGAAATATGAGAACATGCCAAGGCAGGATTGTAGTTGTTTTGCATTCGTTGGAATCGGGAAATTTTGAATGCTCTTAATGTGGGAATCATTGGGTAATATACCTGAGTGTGATACCACATATCCTAAATAGTTGATTTCATCATACCCAAACCTGCATTTATCTAAGTTAAGTTCCAAAGCCCTAAAGGTAAGTCGCTCCAATACTAATTTTAGCAGGTCTTTGTGTTCATCAAAATTTTCGGTCGCAATAATGATATCATCCATGTAAATGATGACCTTTCTGCTATCGATCATGTCCCGGAAGATGTTGTTGATGAAACGCTGAAATACAGCGGGAGCGTTCTTCAGCCCGAACGGCATCTTCAAATATTCATATTGACCGTTAGGGGTCACAAAGGAGGTAAGGGGAATTGATTCAGGTGCCATCTGAACCTGGTGAAAACCACTTTTTAAATCTAATACGGAAAAGAAACGTTTATTTTCCAGATATTCTATGCAGTCATCGATTAGCGGCAGAGGGTAATTATCCCTAACAGTCAATTTGTTTAATGCTCGGTAATCTACACACATTCGGACCTTTCCGTTCTTCTTCTTAACCAGCACTATGGCTGACGCATAAGGTGAATCGCTAGGCCTTATTATTCCATCTCTGCAGAGCTCATCAATGATAGTTTGTACTTGGTTTCTCTCAGCGTACGAAAGTCGTCGGGGCGCGCAATGGAAAGGTACGCCAGTCGCCAAGTGTATCTTCATTTCGTATTTAAATGGTTCTGGTGTCACTTCCGGTTTAAGATATGTGTTAACGATAAGTCGTTCCAAGTCATTCCTTTGATTACCAGTCAGTCTAGTGCCTATGTCTATGTCGTTTCCACCGTGGGGAACGTCAATGCAAAATATCTCAGGTACGTCAACGGCGGCGGGTACGTCAGCTGCGGCAGGTACGTCAACGACGGCAGGTACGTCGTCAGGCTTATTATGGCAATCATTGGTAACGTCGCGTACCGTTACGTCTTGATCTTTAGCGTATTTTAATTCGTCTAATTTCATGACGGCCGAGTGTGCGTTGGGATCAGTTACAAACTTCTCAGACTTATACAAACTATGGTCGTTAACATTTCTTATTTCGAGCAATTTTTCCTTAGTGGAACTATCTGTTGCGCTAGTCAGACAAATGTTAAACTTATTGAGGAAATCACGTCCCAAAATAACTGGCAAATTTATGCTTTTGTCTTCAATAACATTTAATTCAATTTCGTTTTTTTTGTTCAAGAATTCAATTGTACATTTCATTTTATAAAGTATTTTAATTTTGCTTCCACCGATGCCTTTATAACTGGGGCCTCTATCAACCATATGTTTTTTCCCTAGTTGTTTTGGGACCAGTGATGCCTTTACAAAACTAATCGGACTGCCAGTATCGAAAAGAGAGGTTACCTTATAAGTAATTGGAACCGTAAGTGTCTTAAAAGCTATACTCACAGAGTTAAAAGCGCCAATTGCACCTGGTTGGTCGTCTTCATCCTCGGCGACAGTGGCTACTTCGCGTCTCTTCAGAAGCTTTGCTGGATTTGGACATGAGCGATGGTCGTGGCCCATCTTCCAGCACCTGAAGCAGGAACCATCCGGTCTTAGTGGGAATGGGCAGTTTGGTTTTATATGCCCGTTCCGGGAGCAGTTGAAACACTTCAGCTTCGAATCGTCCGTTTGTTTCGGCGCCGTTGTCTGCCGCTGGTTAGATGGCTGCACCGCCCCGGTCACGAAATATTTGTGTTGGTACCGGTTTATAAGGGTTTTTAATTCCTCTACGCTTCGTGCCGTCATCAGGATGTGGGCATGCGGGGTAGTGTTCCCGATGCCGTCTATTATGAAGTCTATCAGCTCCGTATCGGCGATATTGGCGCGCTTCGCAATGGCCTGCATGGTTAGCGTGTAGCAGTGGAGCGTCTCCTCTTTCCTCTTCCAGCGTCGCTGCGACAGCATTTTGTACACTTCTTGCCTTGTGATTCCCACGTCGAATTCGCTTGATAGCGCTGCTTTTAGCGCCTGGTAATTTAGGGCGGCCGTGGTCGATAAAAATACCTTCGCTGTGCCTGTTAGGGACCGGCGCAGGGCAAGCAAGCGAAAATTGTCGTCAGCCCCTGAGGACTCCATTATTTCCTCAAAATCTCGCAGAAAATGGCGAACGTGATAAGCTACGTCGTCGCCATTAAATTTAGGCAGAGCGTGCTCAATATCGCCGAATTCCAGGCGACCTTGTCGTCTACTATTGGGAGGGCGCTCCAGTTCTTCTATCTGTCTGCGTAGCGTAAGTATTTCCAAGCGCTTTTTAAGGGCCGTCACTTCGGCGTCTAGTTCAGTGAGTACTGACCTGGCTATTTCAGTGGCATTCTCAGATACCAGAGCGGCAGTGTTATTGGCGATAGAGACGGCGGTATCGGCAGAGGAATAGGCAGTATCAGCGGTGGTGGTGGCGGCAGAATCAGCGGAGGCGGCGGCGGCGGTAGTGATGGCAGCGGTGGCGGCGGCGGCGGTAGTGATGGAAGCGGTATTGACAGCGGTAGTGACGGCAGCGTTGGTGGCGGCGGTATAAGCGGTGGTGGCGGCGGTATAAGCGGTGGTGGCGGCGGTATGAACGGTGGTGGCGGCGGTATAAGCGACGGTGGCAGCGGTGACGGCAATGTCGGCAATGGTGCCGGCAGTGTTGG